CTCTCCTATACAACGTTTCAACATCTCTAAAAACTAAGTCCATGATTCATCACTTTCTTTATCGATAATTCCAAACGCAATAGGATAGATTTGATTATTACCGTTCACAGAAGATGTAATAAGGCTAACTCCTTTGTATTTCCCCTTCAGCTATGTACCATTTATCACAGGCACTAGGTTGATACAACTAGAGAACCCTCTAATACAAAAACAGAGGGTCATGAACGCGTATTTGAAATACTTGTCTTACTGCAGTTCCATTTCAAAAACAGTATCGGCGTTCACAGCCTTCAAAGCCTCTCCATATTTGCGTAAAAGAGTGTAGAAATCTTTTGGTGATCCCATCAAAAGATTCAATGCTACATCTTTCGTACGCCATGTATTTTCATACTTGATATTGACACCGTAGTACTTCCGCACATCATTAATAATATCTTTCGGTATGTATCGACGACTTACATCCTCAAAATTCAACTTAAATAACTAACTAACCACCCAACTTCCAGCTTGTCTATGGTCGTGGTTTCACGTGTGCATTTTTGGACATCAGTATACTTCGAAATGATGAATGAGTCACAACCTTGGATCATATTCACACACAACCCCCATTTGCAACTTGCTTTATTATATCCGACAGTGTACAAAGTCTTGGTAGATTTTTTTACACGAAATTCAAAATTTAGCTTCATTGCCAACACGGATAGTTTGAAGTGTAGTTCTACCTTTGAATGGAAAATACCCCCAACAAGTACCCCCAACAGCAATTTCATCGACATAATCTGCCACATCTATAGTTGTATTATTCTGTACTGAAGAATTGCCTAATCTCTGAACTATTTGACAAGGTGCATTTGCACTTACTGAATCAACCTCATAGACAGGTTCAACTCCATTCTTAGGTTGATCAGTAATTTCATCCTTGTTCTCATTGTCATAACCATATTCACCCTCATATTCAGATTTTGCTTGATCATCATCGTCCTCTGCCCCATCCTAAGTGTCATCTTCACAAAACTCATACTCAATCTCATTATGTCTCATAATCAACCTTATTCTCGTATAATTCACCATAATATGGTTGTTCGTCATCGCCTTGGTTGCATGGGACAATGTTGTGGGTCAAGGAGGTATTTGTGGGACAAAGGAAGGGGCAGAAACACCCTGTAAAGGGGCATGATTAAAAATTGAAGGGCCACAAGATGGAACATTCTACCTTGAAACTATGGAAATGAAGACGATATTTTGGTTTTTGAATAAAAGAGTATATTTCCTCATTTGCTCCCACTACCATGTGTTTCTTTCAATACGACGGATACATACAACAACACTTGAGAAGGGTCTGGAGGGTCATTCAACTATAATCTTGGGCTAGTATCATAAAAAAATGAAGTACTAAGGTACTTCGTATTGCAATTCAAAGTTATATATACATTGTATAAGAATGTTAAACTGATTTGAATCAATTCTAGTAAGCCTGTACAACTCATTTACTAGGTCATTGTTAGGTTTGACCTTTTGTTGCGGAAACGTGACTGTCGAGGCATATTTGACCATAAAAACGAACATTTTTCCTTCAAATTTAATTAAAAGTGTTTACATATTCTTAAAATAGAATATAAGAATAATATTTCTGGGTAATTTACAATGTAGGGTGTTTTGAGAAAGAAGTGAAGTAAACATGGTCAAACTTGGCAAAAACTCACAGAATTTCTATGTTGCAGAAACAATGCACCTGACACATTTTTCCAGTTTGTCCAAAACACACATTTCACTTATGAGGGACACGAGAGTCATCTCACATATGATTTATTGGAACAAAATAAGCCTAGTCCAAGTCGAAATTGAGTTGTTGGATGGATATCAAGCATTTCCTCTTATTTTGGTGGAGAGTTCAAACCAACTTGAAGCCCTATATAAGGAGAGCCTCCCCCAGCACTTTAACATCAATTCCCATTCATTCCGGATCTCTTGAAGAGCTTTAACATCTAGTTTCAGTCTTAAATTCATTTAGTTATTTTTCCCTTTGTTATTCTCTTGTATTTTCGAAAACTCTAGTGTTGTTCTTCTTTTAATTCAAGCTCTTTCATTTGTTCTTCATATATTCATTTTCTTGAATATTTTTTAGCAAGTCTGAAATCTCTTCAAGCTCGAAAGAGAAGAAGATCAAGCTAGAACTCATTGTACGTTGTTTTTATTTAATTTAAATTAATAGAAATTATTTTTAATCAAAACTAAGGCATGAAGTAAAGAGGTTATGTTTTATAAAGAAGTTTGATAATTGCAACCCTAAATCACGACTTTATCACTTATTTTTATTCATAAAATTCAGTTGCATTTTGAACCAGGGCGAATGTACGTTGGGCCTACAGGGGGCTCGAGCGTCCCCCCACCCCCTAACTTCATAAAGTCTCTTATCTTTTAAGGTAGAGAAAATCCTTACAGTCGGCATATGCTATCGTTTCATCAACGTCTAAACCTCTCATAACCCCACCTTCATACATAGTTCCTACCTCATTCCACTAATCATCCTAGATTACAAATAGGCGACGCATTTTGCAAAGAGATTAAACAAAAAACAGATAATTAATTCACACTTTGGAAAAATTTCTCGATTGAGATTTACAAAAACCTAACTGGGGTTCTAAAAATTTACAAAACTTGACTAGGTTTCCTAAGCAACTCCCTCGAGTTTCATATTCAACTCAATTTGGAAAAATTTCTTGACTAGGATCTACAAAATCCGACCGGGATACTTAAAATTTACAAAACTCGACTGCGTTTCCTAAGCAACTCCCTCGAGTTTCTCAATCGTTCATATGCAACTCACCCGAGATTTAAACAAAACTGAAGTAAAATATTCAAATATATGCTATCGACATAGTTTACAATGCCTTTGAACTTCAAAAATAAAACTCATACTCTGAATAAATCAAAAACTAACATCCTTAATTCAAAATGATGAAGATGACAAAATGAAATGTAATCCACCTTCAAAATATGATTTTCGCCGTTCAAAGAATCTACATGTTGCAAAAATAGATTTCTTTCAAGGGTTACACGTGGAAGAAGTGAAGATTTTCTATGCTTTAAGAAGATTTTATTCTCAGGCATATTAAAGAGAAGTACAAAATCTATGGAATGAAATTAATGATAGTACAAAAAGTTGGTGAGGAATTTATTGGGGTTGGTAAAAAAATATTTAAAAACTCGATCAAGTTGACTGCGATATAGGTTGAGATTTTTCAACAATTCAACTCCAAAAGTTTGAACTTTTCCATATAAATTAGGGGCAATTTCGTCTTTTAACATACTCTAATGTGTCAAAAAAATTTCTCTAATGTCAAAAAAGTAAAATTTTTTATTTTGGGTCATTTGAACAAAATCTAATTTTTTTTTGGTTATATGGGTCCATTTCCCTAAAATACCATGAGAAAAAAAAAACAATAATATGGATTAAAATTTGGAAATAAACTAGCTTACATGAACTTCCATTTAAATTCTAAAACTTAAAAGAACAAAATGGGAATAGTTTTTGCTCGTGAGAAAAAATCTCGAAAAAAAAAACCTAGAAAATGAAAATAATTCAAACTAATAAAAAAAATGGTATCTGAAAATCAAATGTAAAATTTAACTTTCGATTTTTTTTTTTGTTATATTAAAGATGTTACAAATTCGTTTTAAAAATGACATTAAGGGCAAAATGGTTAAATTGCAGGTTGAAACAACCTTGAAATAATACACTATGCCATATTTGCAATATCTACAAAGTTTGATCATTTTTCAATTTATGCTCAAATACAGACTACATGCATGAATTTTCCTTGTTTACTTGAAAAATTCTACCCTCCAAACAATTGGTTTGAGTTTAAAGTCTTTCGACTTAATTCGTGAATACTCTTCATCATTTCGAGAGAAGGAAAAAAAATTATTTATATTGTTAGGATAAATAAAATCTAAAAGAATATTTTTTGTCACGTTAATATTATCAAATATTGACCAATTTTATTGCTCAACTTTTAAATAGGTATGTATTGAGGATATATAGGTCGACTAAAATGAATATTAGGTAAGGTGAAAAATGAAGGCATAATTACGACATAATCAAAATGACTATGTTATTCTTGACAATTTAAGGATTAAAATTAACATTTTAAAATGTCAATGACCAAACCATAACCAATCCAAAAATTTAGAAAATGATATTTAATATTATAAATTAACAAAAAATAAAAATGATTATTTGCTTAAATCTCATTTTGTTTTTAATTTTTAGGATTCTCTTTTTTTTTTTCATTTTGGTCTCCAAATTTATTTTGATTAAAAAGCTTTCAAAATATTGATTTTAGTTCCTAAACTTTAAAAAAATATTAATTTTGGTCTTTATCTAAATTTTACTTTTTAACAAAGGAATGATATAACTTCAAGAATGTATACTAACACGCTAGCATGGACATGTATTAGAGTCACATAATTTGAACCAGAAGAATATTTGGTAAGACATCTCGAAAATTTAAGGACCAACATTGTATAGAAGAACATTATATGGTAAAATAATAGCAAAAAAAAAATATTAAATTTGTATGAGGATGTCCATATTTCTATTGATATTGATGAAACACTCATTTCATTTTATTTTTTTATTATATTTTTTTAGAAAGACACTCATTTATATTTCAATTTAATTTTACTGGTTTATTTGATCTTCTAAGAATATCAATTTTTTCAATGAAATCTAATTAATATTTCTATTGACGTTGATATTTAAAATTTTGACAAAGAAATAGTAGAAAAGAAAAAAAAAAAAGCAAGCATGAGGATTCGAGGATGCTAAATTGAGGTTACGAGGATTTTAATCCTCGACTTCAAGGGAATAAGAATAAGTAGATAAATTTAGAAAACTAAATGACTAAAATATAAATTTTTAAAATTTATGGATAAAAATGAAAAAGTCTTCAAAGTTTCAAGATAAAAATGAGAATTATTATGATAGCGGTGGAGAAAACTATTTAGCAAACTTAAATTGTGCGTTTTGGAAAACCTTTTTGGCGTAGGGATTGGAAGTGCAATTTTCCTGAAAGTAATTTTGATAAAAGGAAAAAAAGCTTCCAATCAACACAAACCTTCATTTTTTCGATTACAGTTCAGTTCTCGATCGAACACAAAAATCCTTCGGTTCTTCTTCTTCTTCTTCTTTCTTGTTCGATTGGGAGGTTGAGGGCGCATAGAATAAACAATCCTTTTTCTGGGGTTCTTATTGATTAATTCAATATGGCGCACCCGTTGCAGAAGACCATGTCGCGTGCGAGATCCAGGCGGATTGTACTGCCTCCGGTTCAAGAGGTATTGACGAATGTTTGAAATTTGTTATTCGAGATCTTTTCCCCCATTTTTGTTCATTTTAAGGCTGGTTCAGATTGAATTTGAGCCCTGAGCGGGAAAATGTAGGGGCGATAAGAATTTTAAGACTGAATTTCAGTTACAGCGTTTCATTTTGTTACTATTTCGTAGGATTTGTTTTAACTGAAATAGATAAATTACATGACATTTGTATTCACGATTACTATCAATTTCTGACTGGAAAAAGAGAGAAAGAGTGACACACAAATTGTTGAAGATGTCGTGTTTGGATCAAAAGAATGAAAGTTGTTCCGTGGATTATGTTATTTGGAGTTTGAAATTTACGCAAAGAAAAATGTAATAGTGGAAGAGACCATGCTTTTAGTTCATTGGGCAGTAACCTTCTATTCGAGTCATTTTGATTACTCTTTGATACTCTACTTATTTAAAACTGTACATTGTGTGCTTTTTCTTTTTCTTGCTTTATAGCTGCTTTTAACTGCTCCCACCTTGATATTCAATTAAATCTTTTGGGCTAATGTTTTCAAGTTTTTTTCTTTCGTGGAATTGAGGGAATTTTTTTAGACTGCATTAACTCTCTGAAACTGTTAAATACAGCATATTTATAAAATAGAAGAAGTTATTGAAGAGGGTGATTACTACGGAGCTCAACAGATGTACAAAACTGTCGGTGCAAGGTACAGCAATACCTTCTTCATTTGCTTTTGATCGTTAAAAGAAGAATATTTCCAAATGATTATGCAACCAATACACTTAATACCTTTGCTGCACTGCTTCTAGTTAAACTGTAAAACCCTTGACTGCAAATTTCTACCAATCACAAGTAT